CAGATGTCTCCCCCATCCCAAAGTCATACATATAATTCTTCGTTTGTTATATGTTGTCATTGGAAAGGCCAACCCATACAGTGGTACCTCGGTTTTCAAACATAATCTGTTCTGGAAGACCGTTCGAGTTCTGAAACATTCAAGAACCGAAAACTCAATAGCCGACAGCTAGGCCTTAGGATCTTGCGCTCAGCGGAAGCCGCGTGGCACGTTCGACTTCTGAGGTGCGTTTGAAAACCAAAGCATTTACTTCCGGGTTTACAGCAATTGAAAACCGAAATGTTCGTCAACGGAAATGTTCGAAAACCAAGGTTCCACTGTACTTCCCCCATACTCACAAATTTAAATCCAGATTTATCCTTTCTGCAGGAAATCTAATAATTTTCCTTAAAGGATGTGTGGCCAACAACCTGCTTGTCATGTCAAGTCGCTGTCCAAAAGTGCTCTTATGTGGGGAAATTGTTCACATGAAAAGTTAAATTTTAGAGTGAAAGTTGGAGAGCGGGCCATTGTTCAGGACTGGCTCAATACTTTTGGACACCTTTACACCACAAAGAACTCATAACCCACCTACTTTCAGCAGCCAGAAGCATCATAGCCAGACATTGGAGAGACCTGTCAGGAGTAAACACGGACCAATGGTACTAAATAGTATGGGAAACAGCCCTACTAGAAAAATTAACTGATAATAATAAATAATAATAATAAATTTTATTTATATCCCGCCCTCCCCAGCCGAAGCCGGGCTCAGGGCGGCTAACAACACTAAAACAATGCAACATTATAAAAACATTATAAAAATTAATTAAAATACAAATTGATGGCAACCATAAACTAAAGTTTTGTAAAGATTGCCAAAGGAGGGAGTCAGGCTGCGCCCTGACCAAAGGCCTGGTGGAACAGCTCTGTCTTGCAGGCCCTGCAGAAAGATGTCACTGAAACTGACACGGGGACAAATAGAAGAAGACACCTTCACCCTGGTATAGCTCCTCTTTATCACATACACAGCCCAACAAGACAATGACAGAAATCCACCAACAGCATACAAATCAATAAGGCTAACCTGATCCAAAACACCCACCCACCCCACGCACACACGAAAACAAAGATCACCACAGCCAACCACAAATGAACAGCCACACCCTAGGCCAACCCCAACCTCTCTCACCACCAAAGGAACACAAGCGAACAGCAAAGAACCTGCACAAGCAACGCTGACACCAAACCCTACATATAGTAAGTAAGATAGAAGCATCGCCACCCGACCCCACCCATCTTTCCCCCCCTCCACCTCTTTCCCCCTTTTCTTCCTAATGTCTCAACAAATGAAATTGATTTGTAAAAATGTTACATGAGGAAAAAACCATGAGAGAGAGACATTGCACACTTTTGTAAATCAACAAAATCTTTAATAAAAATAAATAAATAACACTTGGAAAAAACCACACTTTTGGACACCTAAGGAGGACCCAAAAATGGCGACTCTCGACCCCACCAGGGTAGTGTTGGCAAACACTCCTGGGGGGCAGCAGACCCCCAGTACCTCCTAGCGTCTCCCAGTAGGCACGTCTCTGGAAAGGCATGTCCCTTCGCTCCAGAGTGCCCATCTGCGACACTTCTCATTTGAAAAGTGCACACAAGTCTTCTGGCATCACACAGCAAGAAGATAGAGACATCTGTAGATCTAAACTACGTTTTATTCACAATATAGACAGAGAGTCCATAATCACATATGTGTTCTCCAAACTCTGGCAGAAACAGAAAGCATACAGCAAAAGCGAAAGTACAGTCTAATAACACTCTCAGGCAGAAGAGATAAGACAGTCTTCCGTTCCCACACTCTTCTCAGACATCTCGTGTGATTTACACCAACCACACCAGCCAGCATCGGCTACATAAAATCTGAACAGGTAGGAGCGGTGAGGGAAGACATCAGTGCTATTTTTCTAGAAAAAGAGGTGCCGGAACTCACCATGAATATGTCCCTTGTTCTTTTACAATGGCAGTGACACCCACCTGAGAGGTTCCGGAACTGAGTTCCAGCTGAAAAACCCCCTTACATCAGGAGCAAGGAGGGACGAAAGATTGACATCAAGATTGGCTGCCCCAGTGGACCCTGCCGCCTGAGGTGGTTGCCTCACCTTGCCTCATAGGTGGGGCTGCCCTCAGGGTGGATACAAATCAATGCTTTTTTTAAAAAAATTTAATTGCATTTTTTAAATTTTAAATTAGATTTTTTAAAATTTAAATCAGATTTTTACATTTTAAATGATTTTTTTTTAATTTAAATCAGATTTTTAAAATTTAAATTGGATTTATAAAATAAACGGCTTTTGGAGGAAAAAACTTTCTAAACAGTTTTCTGTTTACCAAAGACTATTCATCAGGAAATAAGGATTTACCATATTTTTCGCCCCATAGGGCGCACCGGCCCATAAGATGCACCTATTTTTTGGGGGGGGGGAATAAAGGGGAAAAAATGATTTCCCCCCCCTCAAGGCGCTAGGCTGGGGCGGGGGAAGCCCGAGCTTCCCCCACCCCAGCCCCCAGAACAGGCTGCTCTCCGCAAGCCGTGGGAGCCCTCTCGCGGCTTGCACAGAGCTACCCAAAGCCCCGGCGCGACTGCTGAGCGCGCTGGGGCTTCGGGATAAGAGGCAGCGCTGCGCAAGCCGGGGGAGCCGTCCCGCGGCTTGTGCAGTGCTGCCTCTTATCCCGAAGCCCCAGCGCGATGAGCAGTCGCTTCGGGTAGCTTCCGGATAAGAGGCAGCGCTGCGCAAGCCGGGGGAGCCCTCCCGCGGCTTGCGCAGAGCTACCCAAAGCCCCGGCGCGACTGCTCAGTGCACCGGGGCTTCAGGGTGCAGGCAGCGCTGTGCAAGGGTGGGAGCCCGGGAGGAACTCCCGCGGGCTCCCACGGCTTGCGGATAGCTTCCTGAAGCCTGGAGAGCGAGAGGGATCGGTGCGCACCGACCCCTCTCGCTCTCCAGGCTTCAGCGAAAGCCTGCATTCGCCCCATAGGACGCACACACATTTCCCCTTCATTTTTGGAGGGGGAAAAAGTGCATCCTATAGGGCAAAAAATACGGTAAGTTTATCATGTGTGCTAAAACACAGTGTAAGTTTTTTATTAAAAAAATGTTTAATCACATCAGTTAACAAACATGGCTACATATGCTATAATGTTATTGTTTTAGTTAAATAAATTGTTTAAATTGTTATTAAGGAAAGGATTATTTTTCTCCTTCCAATAAAGTATAGCGGAAGAGTTGCCCAGATATAAACAGTTAGCTTATTAAACCTCACAGTAACTTCATAATTCTCTCTCTATGCATTTCTAATAGTACAACCAAACCAGTAATTTGCAAGGCGTTTGTATTCCAAGGTACGACTGTGCTTCCATTTAAGTTCATCAAGCACTCCTTTTGAATTCTCTTTCTTGGGGAACTGGGATTATTAATTAATAAACTGCCAACATTTGTATCTCCCCTTTCTGTAAGAGTGGCTGGAAAACATGTGCATAAAATATATGAACTCTCTGAGTTCATGGTTCATAGGACCAGTCTTGCATAACTTGATTATTAAATCTGCTTGAATCTGCACTTGTTTTCCATTGTAACCAATTTCAGCCCTGTCCCAAAGATGTACATCTATTCTGAAAGGAATAGCGGCGGTGCTGTTTCCTCCGCTTTTCATGGAAAAGAACCTATTTTCACACAGCCCAATTATGTGTGTTCTATAAATAGCAAGCTGGTGGTGTGTGCTTTGGGTTTGTAGAGCAGTGTAAATTAGGATTTATGCATGCGTGTTAACAAATAAATAAATAAATAAATAAATAAAGATACCCCGCCCATCTGGCTGGGCTTCCCCAGCCACTCTGGGCAGCTTCCAACAAAATATTAAAATACAGTGGTACCTCACGTTACATACGCTTCAGGTTACATACGCTTCAGGTTACAGACTCCGCTAACCCAGAAATACTGCTTCAGGTTAAGAACTTTGCTTCAGGATAAGAACAGAAATCGGGCTCCGGTGGCGCAGCAGCAGCGGGAGGCCCCATTAGCTAAAGTGGTGCTTCAGTTTAAGAACAGTTTCAGGTTAAGAACGGATCTCCAGAACGAATTAAGTACTTTACCCAAGGTACCACTGTACCGTAATACAGCAAACATTAAAAGCTTCCCTAAACAAGGCTGCTTTCAGATGTCTTCTAAAAGTCTGGTAGTTGTTGTTCTCTTTGACATCTGGTGGGAGGCCATTCCACAGGACGAGCGCCACTACCGAGAAGGCCCTCTGCCTGGTTCCCTGTAGCTTTGCTTCTCACAGTGAGGGAACTGGCAGAAGGCCCTTGGAGCTGGACCTCAGTGTCCGGGCAGAATGATGGGGGTGGAGACGCTCCTTCAGGTATACTGGATGCTTCCCTTGTGTTCTGTCCGCTACAAAGAAAAGGGAGAGGTGTGAGGATCATGTTAGTGAGAACTCAAGTTATGGGATCCAGAATACTTTTGCATCTCTTCTGTTTGCTCATTCGTGGATTTAGTGAAAATACAGCTTTGGGTCAACACCTATGAACGTTCACGTGTGTTTTAATCTTCGTTTAGCTTATTGTTGATTTTAATTATCTTTTATATGCTGCCTTTAACTGTCTTCGATAATTTTGATGTTTTGGTTTTTGTAAACCATTTAGAAGTTTTATTGCAATTGAACAGTGTGTAAATTTTGTTGAATAAACAAAGTTGACTAGGCTATGTTGATTTTTCAAAATCCTATCGCTCTGTAACCTTGATGCAAATGATTTATTGCAGGAAACAAATTAGCTGTTGTCCTTATACCAGTGCTGGTCTTAGTAATATTCAAGTTGCCTACCATCATTTGAAATCTCCATCCTTACCTTTCATTATCAGTAATGTTTAGTTTTAATTATCCCCCCCCACCACCACTCTTTTATGCCAGCGATTCTTTATGCTTATGGTTTCTTGGTTTCTTTTTGGTTTTGGTTTTAAATCTAGCGAAGTATGAGAGAGAAGCCAGTAGATACTGGAATGAATTTTACAAGATCCACAAGAACCATTTTTTCAAAGATCGCAAGTGGTTGTTCGTGGAATTTCCAGAAATTATTCCAGAAGGAAAATCTGACCGTTGTAGAAAAGCGATTACAGAAAACTTGAGATGTACTGGTTTACTTGAAGACAACCATCTTTGTGAGGATAATTCTGCTCCAAAAGTTTCTTCCGTTTTGAGCGCATGTTATGATAACTCCGCAGCTGATGAGCAAATTGTCAAGAGCACTGGAAAGCAATTCCCTGGCGGTGATTCTTCTTACCGAATATTAGAGGTACGGTAGACCTTTCTATTCTGTGTCCAACACCATATTCTCCTGGAGTTTTTGATTCTTATGCAGAAGTGCAAAAATTGGATTGATCCTGAGACTTGTACTCTGCCTTGTTTTGGCAATCCTCCTTTCCCCTTCAGCCCAACCCATAGAGCAAGGCCTCTGGATCATTGGGAGAGGCTTATTTTGGGGGTGGTAGGAGTCAACCTATGCTTTTCCTTCTACCCTCTTCCACATGTGTTTCTGTGGATCCAACCCATATGCAGCCTTGTGAATAGTTACCTCTTTCTTAACTCGCCTGCTGTGAGTTAAGGCAGAGGGCCTTCTCAGTGGTGGCTCCTGCCCTGTGGAACACCCTCCCACCAGATGTCAAGGAAATAAACAACTATCTGACTTTTAGAAGACATCTGAAGGCAGCCCTGTTTAGGGAAGTTTTTAATGTTTGATGTTTTATCGTGTTTTTAATATTCTTTTGGGAGCCACCCAGAGTGGCTGGAGAGGCCAGGCCAGATGGGCGGGATATAAGTAATAAATTATTGTTGTTGTTGTTAATAAATTATGATCATGATATTAAAATCTAATTGGTTTTTTTAAACCTCTCGGGTTTCCCACACAGTATTGTTCTGAATAAGACCTTGGGATCTGATAGGTAGCACAGTCTTACTCATTTATAAAATGTTTAAGGTAAAGGTACCCCTGCCCATACGGGCCAGTCTTGCCAGACTCTAGGGTTGTGCGCTCATCTCACTCTATAGGCCGGGAGCCAGCGCTGTCCGCAGACACTTCCGGGTCACGTGGCCAGCGTGACAAAGCTGCTCTGGCGAGCCAGCGCAGCACATGGAACGCCGTTTACCTTCCCGCTAGTAAGCGGTCCCTATTTATCTATTTGCACCCAGGGGTGCTTTCGAACTGCTAGGTTGGCAGGCGCTGGGACCGAGCGACGGGAGCGCACCCCGCTGCGGGGATTCGAACCGCCGACCTTTCGATCGGCAAGTCCTAGGCGCTGAGGCTTTAACCCACAGCGCCACCCGCGTCCCTAGGATAAAATGTTTAGGCGGTTTAAAATAGTAAAAAAATTGATGAATGGTTTACCATAGGAATGCAGTAACTGCAAAAAGGCAAGCAACATTCAAGCAAATTGTGCCTTAAAAATTGAATGAAAACAAGATGGAAACTTGGGGGTGGGGGTGGAGTTCAATATTGCGCAAAGGCAGTCGTTCCGCCAGGTCAAGCATTTGGTCTTGCCAGAAGAATGATCCCCCTTCTCGCTGCCCCCCCCCACAACAACCATATACGACAGACAAAACTGAGCAGTCTACAAAACAAAATCTGGGAAAACTTGGGTCAGCTGAAAGTTTTTAAGAAGCATTTAAAGGCAATTGCTTTAAAAATGTCTTCTCTTCTAACTTATTTCATGATACTCTGTTGAGGCTAGGAGCTGGTTGCAGCTTTTCTACATCCCTTTGCACGCATAGCCACTCTAATGCATTTTAAGAGAGAGAGAAAATGCCAGCATCTTGGAACAAATCGATATTGTGTGTGTGGCTACCAGAGTAAAGTAATTTCTTGGTGTATCAAAGAAGATGAAGCCCTTCCTTGTGAAAGAAGGAGGACACACACAGAACTATTCCCTGAAGATATGTAAAATTTTAATTCTTAGTCTGTTCTCGCCCTGCCCCCCCCCAAATGTTGGAAAATATTTTTTTTTATAAATGTGATCAGCTTAATATTTTGCTTTTGTCTTTACTACCAGGTTGGCTGTGGTGCTGGTAACAGCGTTTTCCCTATTTTGGAAGTGATTCGGTAAGCTAAAAAGATAACAAGTTACATGCTACAGTAATGAGGAGGGAACAGCTGCTTTGCCGTAACTCCTACTAAGAATTTTCACTCTTGTTCAAGAATGAGGAACTTCTGGTCCTCCCAAAGTTTTTTTGTCCCAGAACTCCTATCTATCATCCTTGTCCTTTGAGCATGCTGGCCAGCTCTGATGGGTGTTGTTTTTATTATAATTTATTAAATTGGTATACTGCCCTTCATCCAAGGATCACAGCGCACTTCACAACATAAAAATACAATATGAGAACACAAAGTACGTAATAAGAAACCTAAAAAACCCCAATAACCCTGTGGCGATCACACAGGGTCCCCGGACGTTTCACCGTCTATTGATCCCTGTGCCACCACTTTATTTCTCGCTGCCACCACCCAGGCCCTACCTGGTACAATACTGAGTCCAGTCAGGGTTAAATTGGAACATAAACTTCTGTTTATTTATTGCAGGTTAACAAGCGTGTGGTTTCATAAACAGTTACAATCATGTGGTGCCTGTCCAGACCCATAACTTCCGCTACCTGCTCTCACTCACTAAACCACCTCTCAGATATTTACTTGTCTTCCTAGCCCCTAACTGTTCCTGACTCAGCTTATTTCACTTCACTGACTCAACCTACCCACAGACTATCTCAAGTCACTCCCACTCCCACTCCAACCAACCACCCAACTCCCAACAAACTCCTCCTTCGACCCTCCCAGAGCTGGTTTTATAGTCCCTCTGACTCCACCCCCCTGGGTTCTGACTGGGTAACCTGTTTAACTATTTCACCTCCAGCACTCTCATATGTTAACGTCACAAACCCCCCTCCAAAAAACAAACAAACCATGTTTAAAAGGCCATATAATATTTAATCATTCCAAGGCCTGGTTATAGAGAAACGTTTACACCTGGCGCTTAAATATATGCAATGAAGGCATCAGGCGAGCCTCCTCGAGGAGAGCATTCCACAAATGGGGAGCCACCGCAGAAAAGGCCCGTCCTCGTGTCGCCACCCTCCGGACCTCCCGTGGCTTCCCACAACATCTGGAGGGCCACAGGTTACTCATCCCTGCTGTAGGTGATGGTAGCATAAGATGTTCCATCGGGTACGAAGTTTCGTTGACTTTCATAGGTCCAAAGCTGTACATTAGTACCTCGGGTTACAGACGCTTCAGGTTACAGACTCCGCTAACCCAGAAATAGTACCTCAGGTTAAGAACTTTGCTTCAGGATGAGAACAGAAATCGCGCAACGGCAGTGAGAGGCCTGATTAGCTAAAGTGGTGCTTCAGGTTAAGAACAGTTTCAGGTTAAGAACGGACCTCCGGAACGAATTAAGTTCTTAACCCGAGGTACCACTGTACCATGAATTGGACTCCAAATGAATCAGAAGCCTGCGCTGTCAAGAAATAGCCGGTGTAATGTGTTCATAATTTGTAAAATCTGCATGCGCGGAAAAGCTCTTGGTCAGCGGTATTTCCAGCTCTTTGTGGTTGTTCCATTCATGCTTCAGAGTAATCAGTGAAAATTAAAAAGTTGTGATTGACATTGCTGCTGGTTCTTAAGAGCAAACCAGATCCAAAAAAATCCCCCCCCCCTTTATTTCAGCTCTTCCTCAAGTGAAACAATGCAGTTCATTCTAGGTGAAATGTCTCCTTCTCTATGCACAGCCAGTAGTGGTAGTTACTGGCAATTGTTCTTGGCACCGTCGTACCTCGGAAGTCGAACGGAGTCCGTTTGGCTTCCAAAACGTTTGGAAACCAAAGCGTGGCTTCTGATTGGCTGCAGGAAGCTCCTGCAACCAATCGGAAGCTGCGGAAGCCCCATTGGACGTTTGGCTTCCAAAAGAACGTTAGAAAACTGGACCACTCACTTCTGGGTTTTGATCGTTCAGGAGCCGATTTGTTCGGGAGCCAAGGCGTTTGAGATCCAAGGTACAACTGTACTGGGGAATGCTGCCTTATGTCCTTGGTGTCTGATAATCTTAAATACACAAGGGAGTTTGGAGCTGGCTCTGTAGCGGATGGAGGTGGGGGAAGAAGCTACCCTTCTATTGGAGCCAGCCTGCGTTTTTCATTCAGAAACTGAATAGAGACAGTTTGCGCTGGGACTGCTGTTGGAGGACCACATTCCCTTGTGATACTCGCAAGTGGAATTGAAAGGTCTCTTCTAGCTACATCCCTTTCCTTTTTGCTCTGTTCTATAATATTGCGCAGGGATGCGGGTGGTGCTGTGGGTTAAACCACGGAGCCTAGGACTTGCCGATCAGAAGGATGGCGGTTTGAATCCCCGCGAGGGGTGAGCTCCCGTTGCTCGGTCCCTGCTCCTGCCAACCTAGCAGTTCGAAAGCACGTCAGAGTACAAGTAGATAAATAGGTACTGCTCCAGCGGGAAGGTAAACGGTGTTTCCGTGCGCTATTCTGGTTCGCCAGAAGCAGCTTAGTCAAGCTGTACGCCGGCTCCCTCGGCCAATAAAGCAAGATGAGCACCGCAACCCCAGAGTCGGTCACGACTGGACCTAATGGACCTTTACCTTTTATAATATTGTGCAACGGCTACCAAATGCAGCTTCGTCGCAGACAAAGCAATGGCCTAGTAGGGAAGGAGCGTTGGAGAAGTAAGCGTTTCGCTCGTTTCCCAACAAGACGTTTAACCACCTCCACCGTCGACTTTCCCGTTCGCTTCCCTCTGCCTTTGCCCTTTCCACATCTCCTAAGAACTGGGTTTAGGTGATTTGATTATGCCTGCAGATGGATCCCCGGCAAAAATCGCTTCACCAAAGCAATTAGGGGGGCTGATATTTCCCTTGTTTCTTTCTCCAGCCACCATCCCGGAGTCTTTCTGTATTGCTGTGATTTTGCTTCAGAAGCGGTGGAGCTCATCAAGGTATTTAAAACGCGGTGATTCGTTTGCGAGAGCATCCTTCAATCCTTGGGTTCGCCAGCTAGTGAAATAGGCATCAAAGACTGCAACAGCTTGGAATTATAGTTCCTTTTCCAATGAAGTAGTGCATGAGGAACTGGTTCATACGCTCTCCTGCCTAGTGGGTGCTTCCAGATAATGCCCTAGAGAGGATTTGAGACCTTGGTACCTGGAGGCGTGCTTCCTCCCTGATATTATTCCCTACGTGCATCATTCAAAATCAGAGGGCTTTCCCCATCTGCTTCTGCTGACTGGAGTGTGGTAGTGTGGAGCAGGGTCTTCTCAGGTGTGGTGCTAACCTCTAGATCAGGGGTAGGCAACCTAAGGCGGCCCAATCGCCTTCTTAATCCGGCCCACAGACGGGCCGAGGAATCAGCATGTTTTTACTTGAGTAAAATGTGTCCTTTTATTTAAAATGCATCTCTGGGTTATTTGTGGGGCCTGCCTGGTGTTTTTACATGAGTAGAATGTGTGCTTTTATTTAAAATGCATCTCAGGGTTATTTGTGAGGCATAGGAATTCATTCACTCCCCCCCCCCAAAAAAATATAGTCCGGCCCACCACATGGTCTGAGGGATAGTGGACCGGCCCACGGCCGAAAAAGGTTGTTGACCCCTGCTCTAGAGGTGGTTCCCAATGCGTGGTCCGCACACCAAGTCCATGGCTCATACCTGCCAACTGTCTGGGACATCCCATTTTTGTGACAAGTGTGGCCCGGAAGATGCACGTCCGGATTTTGGGCTGGTACCTGTTGGAGCGTATGGCGGCACCATTCACATAACAAAAAATTTAAAAACCGGATTTTTTAATTTAAATTGGATTTTTAAAATAAACTGCTTTTGGAAGAAAAATCTTTCTAAATATAGTTTTCTGTTTAAGTTATATTATAGTCCAAAGGCTATTCGTCAGGAAATAAGGGTTTGTTTTAAGTTTTTCATGTGTGCTAAAACTCAGTCTAAGGTTTTTTAAAAAATAAAAATGTTTAACCACATTAGTTAACAAACATGCTATAATGTTATTGTTTTAGTTGAACAAATTGTTTAAATTGTTGTTAAGGAAAGGATTATTTTTCTCCTTCTGATAAAATACAGCAGAAAAGTTGTCCAAATATAAACAGTTAACTTATTAAACCTCACAATAATTTCATAATTAACAGTCTATGTATTTCTAATAGTATAACCAAATCAGTAATTTTTGATATAACTGTAAAAACTACTCTGAAAATTTATTATTCCAAAAATGAATCCTTCATCTGGTTGTAAATGTTAAGATTATACCACGAGATTATAACACAAGTGTTAGCGTCGGCCATGCGGGAGAGTGATATTAAAAAAGCTCAGGGCAATCTCCCCCCCATTTTCTAAATTTTTAGTCCCCCCAAAATAGGGGGCGTCTTATACATGGGGGAGTGTTATACAGTGGATGCTCGGTTTGCGAATGTGATCGGTACGGGATGCACATTCGCAACCCGCAGCATTTGCAACCCACAACGGTGCGTCTGCCCACGCGCAGGTTGCAATTTGGTCTTCTGCGCATGCTCAAAGCGTGATTTAGCGCTTCTGCGCATGCGCGGCCACCGGAAACCAGAAGTAACCCATTCCGGTACTTCCAGTTTTTCGCGCGTCCGTAACCCGAAAAAACGCAAACTGCAGCATCTGTAACCCAGGTATGATTGTACACGGAAAAGTGTGGTAATTTGGTGAGAGCTTTATATCTGGTTTTTTTTATAAACTGGTCCTTAGAAATGTGGTGGGTTTGTTTTTTCCTTTTCCGAAATCTGAATCGCTGAGGAGGGGGGATTTTGGGGGAAGCATTTCTGTGTCACAGGAAACCGATTCTAAGTAGTTTGAGAGTCTCTCTGTTTGTTCTTTCGGATTGGGGGGGACTTGTTAACAGTCTCATCCACTCATCGATTCCTCCCGGTGTTTTGCCTTTGTTCACGACGTGTGTGATGATGCCTCGCCCTACCCTTTCCCAGACGGCAGCCTGGATGTCATTCTCCTCATCTTTGTGCTGTCTTCCGTTCACCCTGACAGGTAAATGAAGGCTGGGAAAGGTGGGGGATAGAGCCAAACGCAGTAAATGTCTCTCTTCATCTGGAGTGGCTTTCAGGGCTATCTTTAGAGAGAGGGTGAATTTATTACTGAAGAGTCCTCTGGTTCACTTGCACGCTGGGCATTTAAAATCCCAATTCTCTCCCGTTCACAGCGAGAGCTGGTCGAAAGAGCGCTTCGCTAATGAGGCTCCTTGTCGCCCTCGGAAGAGGCTTCTTTGGCAAAATGCGTGCCTATTAAAGATGGCGGGTCTTTCCAAAATATTACAGATGACTTCTTCTTTTCCCCTTGGGAAAAAGAATTGAAATGAAACCGGCGAAATCCAAATGGCCACCTTCATGCACCAAAGATATTCCCAGCTTTGTTCTCCAAACAGCTGAGCTTTCTGATTTGCTTTCAGAGAAAATCGCATTTCCCTCATTTCTTCCTGTTTGTTCGGGAGGCAAGCGGGTGAGGAGTCATAGGCAAAAGAATACTTTGCCAAGCCCGGGTGGGGAAAGGGAAGAAATATCTCTTCCCTGCACCTTTTGCTAACTCTTATGCCGCAAACCTTCAGGTTTTCTGTGCAAATTTCCACCATTAGCCTTTGTAGATCGTCCTGTTTTCTCCCCCACCGTCAGGTAATCTGACGAAGGTTGCTGTGATTAATATCCCTCAATTCTAATACTGCAAAAGGCTGTATTTAAGTGTTTTATTTTATTTCCCCCCCAAAAAAAAATTATTAGTTTTCCAGATTTATAACAAACAAATAGAAAAAAAGAAAATCAAAAAACAAACCAACAAACATTTATCCTGATTGTAATAATTCCACTTTTGATAACATTGTTAGGTGAACAGTGTGTAACAATGTATTTAAGTATTTTAAATAAACATGTATGTTCCACTGAAATCAGTGAAACTGGTTGCCGAATAAGTATGCCAAAATTAGGTCCAAGCTGCAGTTTGTATCCTAAAATCACTGTTGTTCTTTCTCTCGCCACTCACCTTATCATAGTATTATCCTAATTCCAAAGGTTAAAGCACTAAAAGATAGCTGTTTGTTCTAATCTTCCTAAATATTTAAAGAAATTCCCCCGAACAAGCGCCTGTTAATAAAAAATACTGATCTCGGTTTGGGGTGGGGGTGAGGAAGAGGCAAATAATTTTTTTAGCAGGCAACGTGCAAAAGGTCACGAGGGTTCTTCTCATGTACGAACCTTCATTCAGCATTTAAATTATTACCTAATTAGTTTTTAGGGCACTTACAGCCTGTCACTGTTTTATGGGTGGGGTTCAGTCACGCCCTGGCAAATTCAGGTTGTGGAATTCAAAATGCTTTGGTGTTCTTGAGTTCACCCCACATTGAACTTTCTGTGATAAGGAAAGTGGAAGGAAATTACATTCTGAAGTGTGGAGTGACAATTGCTGGACACAATGTCCTCTAATCTCCCCACAAACTTTGTGCAAACGAATCAAGATGAATGCTTTTTTTTTTAAGGGTTTATTGAGTTTTCAAAAACAACATCATCAGACCCTCCAAGTGTCCCTATTTTCCAGGGACAGCCCCGGATTTAGAGAAGCTGTCCCAGTTTCTGATTTGATCCTGGAATGCCCCATTTTTCCTTAGGATGTCCCTAGGTTTCATCGGAGAAATGTTAAGAGGGTATGGGGTTATGCAACCGCCGAGCCAAGGAGATAAGTAACTATACAATCTTTAGAAGACATTTGAAGGCAGCCCTGTATAGGGAAGTTTTTAAATGTTTAATGTTTTGTTATGTTTTTATATATGTTGGAAGCTGCCCAGAGTGGCTGGGGCAACTCAGCCAGATGGGCAGAGTATTATTATTATTATTATTATTATTATTATTATTATATTAAAGGTAAAGGTACCCCTGCCCGTACGGGCCAGTCTTGACAGACTCTAGGGTTGTGTGCCCATCTCACTTAAGAGGCCGGGGGCCAGTGCTGTCCGGAGACACTTCCGGGTCACGTGGCCAGCGTGACAAAGCTGCATCTGGCGAGCCAGCGCAGCACACGGAAATGCCGTTTACCTTCCCACTAGTAAGCGGTCCATATTTATCTACTTGCACCCGGGGGTGCTTTTGAACTGCTAGGTTGGCAGGCGCTGGGACCGAGCAGCGGGAGCGCACCCCGCCTCGGGGATTTGAACCGCCGACCTTTCGATCGGCAAGCCCTAGGCACTGAGGCTTTTACCCACAGCGCCACCCACATCCCATTATTATAATTAGCAGATTATTATTATTATTAGCAGATTATGATTATGATTATTATTATTATTATTATTATTACTACTACTATAGAATAAGATGTCCTTATTTTCATCGAAGAAATGTTGAGGGTATACAACATGCAAACAAGACAAACAAACAAGAAAGAACAAAAACTTTGCGGGTCACGTTATTGGAATTAGAATAAAATAAGCAGAAGTAGGTTTTGTAGATATATCAAAATAAAATTATAGAAAGGCACCTTTTGGAAGGAAAAGCTATATATTAATAAGGCAGCCTTGCCACTTAGAGGTATGTCTTGTCAGGGGCAAGCTAGTGTTTTGTGTTTTTGAATTACACCCTGATGGTGTGTGTGTGTGTGTGTGGCTGGCTATTCTATTTTCACAGGATCCAAGGAGTTGTGAACGGGCTGGCCAGATTATTGAAACCTGGAGGAATGATTCTCTTTCGGGACTACGGAAGATACGACGCTTCTCAGCTTCGTTTCAAAAAAGGTGCTTCTCAAAGAGGCAGTTGCTTTGTTTGTCTACTTGTTGTGAGTCCTCAGTAGGGATACAGTAATCTAGCCTTCCTTTTCTCCTATTAGGCCGCTGCTTGTCGGAGAACTTCTACGTAAGAGGCGACGGCACCAGAGCTTATTTCTTCACAAAAGGTATTTGGGCCAGCACTGTGGTTGAGGAGTGCCAGTTTACCTCAGAGAGATAATCTCTCCTCGTGGATTTCTTCCAAGCCCCACTTTGGTTTAGGAACATTTGCTGCTTCAGGACAAAGGGCAAAACCTTATTCTCCGCTGATCTCCAATGAGATCAGGGCTGCCATACATTTAAAGCACACACATCATTCCAAAAATCCTGGGAACTCTCATTTGGGAATTATAGCTCTGTGAGGGTGTCAATCACAAGTCCCAGAATTTTTTTTAGGGGAAGCCATGTGCTTAAATGTATGGCGTGTATGCAGACTCAGTTAAATTAGGCTCAATAAAATAAATAATCGATTACAGGTGGGTGGATTTCGGTTGAACATGAGGAGAAAGCTCAGCCAAATGTGGGCTGTTTGTGGAAACCTTTTCCTCACAACAGCTCAGGTGTGATCCTGAAAGCCAGTTGATAATTTGCACTTAAAATGAAAATGTTGTATTATTGCATGAACCGTTTTGAGAGAAACACTATATACCGTATTTTTCGCTCTATAAGACGCACAAGACGCACCTAGTTTTTGGAGGAGGAAAACAAGGAAAAAAATATTCTGAATCTCAGAAGCCAGAACAGCAAGAGGGATCGCTGCGCAGTGAAAGCAGCAATCCCTCTTGCTGTTCTGGCTTCTGGGATAGCTGCGCAGCCTGCATTCGCTCCATAAGACGCACACACATTTCCCCTTACCTTTTAGGAGGGAAAAAGTGAGTCTTATAGAGCAAAAAATACGGTATATAATAATGGGATTCTTCCAGTAGAGTACAACTATTGCATTCAAAATAACGGTTTGGGAGGAGAGGAGAAGTTGCATTGCAGTACGTTGTTGAGAGCAGTATTTTAATTCCATGTGGTGGTTTGTCCGGTTGTGTCTTACAGCAGTGTGGGGCACACACTGTGGGGCACACACGGGTGTCTGCATCGACAGGGGAAGAGGCTTCAACTTGGCACGAGATCCCTTTTCTTTCTGTGGAGTCCTGTCCTAGGCCCCTGTCTGTCATGCTTAATTAACTCTGAATTAGCTGGCGTTTCGGCGTGTGTGTGCTTTTAAATCAGTCCCACAGAGGTCTTTCTCTTCTGGATTATGAGATGTGACCAAACTCACATTTGCTTCCCATAATATTTTCTATTAACTGTGAAAGCTTTGGGAGGGGAGAGGAGAACGGGCGCCTGCAAAGAGGGCTTTCAACTTTGGTGTGACTGATGAGTTTTCGTACACCACCGGGCATGAGATTCTGTAATGAAATTCATGTGGCGCCATGAAATGCGTCTCCTTTCCCCCGCCTTGTAGGGTTAGCGTCCGCTGCTTGGCTTTCAGAACAGCAAGAAAGAGGGAGCGTGTTCCATCCCTGACATACTCTTAACTAGGGCTGGGCGATATCTGGCTTTCAAGATCGTGATATATCAGCTGAGGAGCTGGCGATACATCACGGCTTGCCAGTGGCAGCGCAGGCAGGCAGACACGAGTGAGGTGTGCTGTGTATACCTGTGTATACCTGAAGGCCCAGTATCCCTGAAGGAGCATCTCCACCCCCAATGTTCAGCACGGACACTGAGGTCCAGCGCTGAGAGCCTTCTGGCGGTTCCCTCACTGCGAGAAGTGAGGTTACAGGGAACCAGGCAGAGGGCCTTCTCGGGAGTGGCGCCTGCCCTGTGAAATGCTCTCCCATCAGATGTCAAGGAAATAAACAACTATCTGACTTTTAGAAGACATCTAAGGGCAGCCCTGTTTAGGGAAGTTTTTAAAGGTTTGATGTTTTTTCGTGTTTTAAATATTCTGTTGGGAGCCACCCAGAGTGGCTGGGGAAACCTAGCCAGATGGGTGGGGTATAAATCTATGATGATGATGATGATGATGATGCTGGTGGAAGCCACTGAGCCATGATATATCCCAGCTTCCTTTTGGGTGAAACTCACCAGAAATGGTGAAACTCACCAGGAAAAAAAGAAATCAAGTTAACAAACTTTTTATTTAAAAAATGGAAATGATCTACTGAATATTTACAGACAATCTGTAAACAGTAAAGAACATTGGCAGGATTATTGTAATAACCTGCAGTTTTATATGAGTATACATTTAAAGTAGATGAATTAATGATTAAGTTAATTTGGTATAGAGTCGTACCTTGGTTTTCAAACAGCTTAGTTCCCGAACGTTTTGGTTCCCAAATGCCGCAAACCCGGAGTGACTGTTCTGATTTACAAACAATTTTTGCATCTGACGGGGCTTCTGCAGCCAATTTCCAAACGTTTCGGAAGTCAAATGGACTTCCGGAACGGATTCCGTTCGATTTCCATGGTACGACTGTATACGGAAAATATAAAAAATAAATTTAAGGAACCACAGGAAAAGGGGAAGTCGAGTTTTGAAATGTTAAAATGACTGTAAAATTATTGAAATGTCTAACACTGAAAATCATAAATAAAAATTAAAAAAAGAAGGAAAGATATATCACCAGCTCAAAATGTCTGAAACGGGTATCGCGGTTTGAATCTCATACCGGTTCCAGACAGTTAATTGTAATATCAACTGGGAAAACTCAGCCAGATGGGTGGGGTAGAAGTAATAAATTGTTATTATTATTAACGAAAAGTTGATCCGCTGCAGCACAAGACATGGAACGTAAGGAAATCCTGCAGTGCCAGGAGATCCTGAGGGTGCAATTTTACTCCTGCTGTAATCCGTGACTTTGTTAGCAGCATCCTACATAGATCTTTTATTATTATTATTATTATTATTATTATTATTATTATTATCGCACTGTTTTAAATGAGTGTAACTTGGCTATTTATTTTACAAAACACAGATGAAATACACAGCATTTTCTCTTCGGCGGGCTTAACCGAAGTCCAGAACCTGCTCGATCGACGACTGCAAGTGAACAGGAAGAAGAAGGTGAAGATCCATCGGGTCTGGATTCAAGGCAAGTTCCAAAAACAAGGGGAGCTGACTCAAGAGTAGGCAAGAAAATGCTGCAGGTAAACACAACTCTTTGCCTGAGAAGACATTTCCCCTCAAACGTCCTGATAAACCAGGAACGCATTTGAAGAAAAGTTTGGATTTGATATCCCGCTTTATCACTACCCGAAGGAGTCTCAAGGCGGCTAACATTCTCCTTTCCCTTCCTCCCCCACAACAAACACTCTGTGAGGTGAGTGGGGCTGAGAGACTTCAGAGAAGTGTGACTGGCCCAAGGTCACCCAGCAGCTGCATGTGGAGGAACGGAGACGCGAACCCGGTTCACCAGATTACGAGTCTATCGCACTTAACCACTACACCACACTTGAGCAGAAACACTTTATTTACCATTTCCGCATATGTTGATGTGAATTGGACACAACCCAGAAGTGCGTGTGTATATGTGACTTGCCTCTTGCACACTCATTGGGAAGGAATTTCTACATTGCCGAGGCTAGTTAAGCCTCGTAGTCCCTTCCAACTCTACAATTCTGTGATTCTATGAATGAAACTGTTTCGGCTACTTTTGTGTTCCGTTCATTGGTGGAAAGCAATTGCTTTTTAATTACTGTCCCGACCAGGAGATTCAAAAGATCGCTGGAGGGCCAAAGGTTTGGGTCAGGA